CAGGGCTCAGATGAGAGACTACGTTATGACGTTGGGTTTAACTCAATCTCTTTTTGTACTATCTCCAAGTGATAATTGTCATTCTGATACTATTAATTGTAATTCGATTTAGAGTGATGATAGAAATGATGGGTAGAAGGAAAAGGGAAAGTTGAGATGAGGATTAAAGCAAGGGCATTAGTGTTTTGACTCTAAGTAGATATTGAAGTTTTTTTTTTTCAATTGTAAATCAGCATTTTATTTAAATACAATTTGAATTATAATGTCTGAACAAAATGAGATTATTCTCCTTTTTTTAAATTGTTTTCAATTTGAGAGACAAAATTTTCCATACTTGAAATATTTATTGTACTATTTATTAATTGAACTCATGCAAATCACTTTTGTTGTTGTTGTTTTTATGAAAATATCGTAGTAAAGATTTGTATTAGTAAACATTTATGACAACAATATTTTTTAGACTTAAAGAATCATTATTTAGATTATGTACTGAGTATTGTGTTAAATATTGTTGTAATTAATCATTAAATGATAAAAAAAATCATAAAGAAAAACAAATTGTACTCTTATATCATGTGAATATGACTTTGTTAAATAATTCCTTACAAATTTATTGGAATCAATAATTCGATTGGATAAAAAAACGACTTTAAATAAAACATATTCGTCTTATTGCAATTACCTTCAGTTGAAATTAAAGAGAAATATGTCGGAAAATATTTTAAAAGGAATTATTCTTTGTAATTGATTTTTATATTGTGGGCATTTCGATATGGTTGATTCAATTGATTGAATTTTTAGGTGGTTACACAACGAAAAGAAAAATAAGTAAATGGAATGATTGTTAGAATGTAGTACAGTGCATTCAGGTGACGTTTGTATAATTCGTAAGAGTTCTTGTATTTTTCTTAGATCGACCCACATGTTGGCATAGTCAAGTTTACCAAACTAACATGAGATTGGTTCTGATACCATCATGAGTGCATGGAGCGGTTTGTTGATTATTTATTTAGGGGTGGAGAAGGTTGTGCTGGAGAAGTGTCATTTACATAAATCGGTTGGTTTACCAAATCAAGGAAAAATTATGTTCAATTAGTTGTTCACATTAAATCAATTCATTAGTTTCAAAGTCTACATGGAAGTTTAGAATGACAAAATTTAAATAATGAATTCGACATTAATTAAGTTTACATGTAATATGTTTAATTCCATCTAAACGAAATTCATTAATAATTAACAAAGTCACTTTAAAGGAGATAAACCTCCTCAACAATAGAGTACTCAGTTTCTCAAGGCAGAGATTACAAAACTTTATCATTTACTTGAACTAATTAAAATTTCTAATTATTTAATTCTTACAAAAATACAGCTGCCTCCTAGAGATCACGCCAATTTTCCCATTTTCCAATTAAATATTTTTAAATTAAAAAATTTTTGATAGAAGAATAAACACATTTTTTTTCATCAAATACATTTTTCTCAATAAAAATGAGAATAACTGAGGCTTTTTATTAACCATTAAAAATTTTTTATTGTCAATATTGTTTGTTTAGTCTTTCAACTCTCACAAAAGAATTTTTTGAAAAAAATAGTCTCGATTATAAATAAATTAATTAAATTGTTAAAAAATATTTAACACACAAATAGTAATAATATTCATTAAAGTAAAACGTTGCAAATTCTTTTTTTATTAGCATTTACTAAATGTTTTCTAAATAGCCTTTCTCACAGCTAATATAACCATTCGCAGCTAAACGTCGTTTAGCTACCTAAGTTGGGAGGGATGCTATTATAACCCCACTCTAATTATCTAATAATGAAACGTATTTCTAAACCTACAATGTTGAGCACATCTTCAACAATAACCCCTTTTATACCACTTCCAACAATAATAAGAACAATATTTCACCCCATCCCTAAAGATTCAGACAAAATTCCAATAATTACTTCATCTTTCTTCCCTTCCATGACACCAAAAAGCAAATAAAGCTTCAATCAAAAAATCAAGTCTACTGTTTAAAACTGTTTGCACTTCCTTTGCCAACGTCAGAATGAGTCCCATGATTTATCACAAAAGATCAGACGTTCTTTTCATTATTCAAAACAATACTTTATAATAAACAAAAACCAAGTTTTCACTTAATAAAGTTTTTATTGCTGTTAACCAATTTCTTGAGAATGAATGATACTAAACACGTCAAAATGAATAAAAAAAGATGATGATGACTGTTCAGAAAGAAAAAAAAAGACTTAATCAATAAGAAAGATAAAAAAAATTATTTGATCAAAAAATATTAATTTTCCACAATTTTTTTTCTTAAAGTATAAATTAGATTCCTTTCTTCCGAATGTACACAAAAATCAATAAGAGAGAATAACTTCTAGGTAAATTAAAGAATATTGAAATATTGGACAGTAATTAAATCAAAGTTACTGGAAATTTAACTTAATATTGGAGACACAAAAAAATTCATGAATAAAAAAGTTTTAAAGAAAGATTTACAAAACTCGAAAATGTCAAGGATAATTGATAACAATTTCAAAAATTTTATTAAAATCTCGAAACTTCTTTAATCCTCTGTCGTTGTTAATAAAAAAAGAACAAATGTGTATAATGAACTTTGTAGTTGAAAACAAACTCAATTGCGAGCGACAACGAAATCCTTTCCGTAGCATGTAAGGACAATATTCGAGGGTGTGAATAATACAATAAAAGGCTGATGAAGATTGGTGAGAAACCACGCGGGTAATTCGCCAGACACATTTCCCGTGAGGGTGGGAAAGAGTTAAAACAAGTGGGAGATATAGGTGGAGGAGTGATAACGCGGTAGCCAAGAGGGCGTGAATAAATCGGAAAAAGTACTTTTGGCCCGGGTTCCTGTATTTGTTGGAATTGTATCTCCTGAACGTTATACGTTTGTGCAGTCTAGAAAATTTCAGTCTTATTTTTATTCTTATTCTTCTCCCCTTCTTTCGTTACGCAAGTCAAGCCAGCTAGAGGACCACCGGTGAGTATTCTCAAAAGTTTCAAGCGGACCATAACTTTGTTCGTTACCCTCTTTCCTCGACGTCAACATTATTCTTATGATATAATAAGGATCTGGGAAGAGAATAACTTTGCTGCTAGTCAACTTAGTCTTTCTACAGTTATCAAAAAGATGGAGAATTAAGCCAAGCTTGCGGAATATATAGAGTGATATATCTAGCCTCTTCCACCAACTGATTGACTGATTCTCTAAGTTTGTTGTTGATTTTGAAAGCGGAAAATCTTAATCGTGAGGTTGTCGTTAGGATCACCCACTTGAAATTCCGAGTAACAAACCGCCAAAGCGGAAGTCCGAGAATACAAGACAAAGGTCTTGTCGAGTCTCTTGAACTCACTTGAGATGAACTGAGATGGTTGATATTCATCCGGACTCGGATTTTTTTTTCGGCTCAACACACAACACTGAATCTACTTGGGAGTTAAGTCTCTCTGAATTCTTGTTTAGTTCTCTACATAATATCCAACAACGTACACACAACAGTAGGATAATTTCATTGCTATTTCTCGAGATTGTACGTAATATACATTAAAATTCATTGCACATTTGTGATATTTCATTGCTGGCTACGGGAAACAGGAAATTTCCTTTTCGGAATACTTGATTAGCGTCTACCGAGCTAGGAAAAAAGATGATAGATAGCTAAATGATAAAAAATGTAAATTCATCAAGAATGCAGCTGTTCATGTAAGATACTTCCACCTAATATGTAGCTTTAGTTGAGAAATAATATTATCCTCTACCATATATAAACACCAAGTTGGGACAACTTTTCGTTGTTGGTATAAATAACGCGCACGCTATAAAACGAGAGACAAAAAACATCTTAAATTACACCACAATTAAATGGGTTGTTTAATTAGTCAATTTTTCACAACGAAACCAACTCTCGTCGCGTAACAAAGAAGCCCAGTAGCTATTGGATTGCTGGTGCATTTTTTCCTCCCTCAAACTTGCTACCAACATTACTCCTCCCTGTGACACTTTAATTATGGTCTTGTATAAATCTCGCGAGGGATGCGCTTATGGTTGGGATGATAGTGAAAAAAGCTTTTTTCGTCTTCATTGCGTTGATTAATATCGCGCGTTATCCTTTAACGAAGCGATGAACAGCTAAAAGGATAACTAGTGGACAAAAGGTCGACTCTGAGATAAGAATTTAAATAGGAAAAAATATACGGAAGATTTCCTTCAAGTGTAAATGAAAATAATTTTCTGGCTTTTGATGCTGAAAACCGCAACGTTGGCTAATTACTCTCGTTAATTATATGCTATGAGGAAAATGAGAAATTCCTCTTGAAAATACGATGAAATAAGACGAGTTTCGAGTGAAAATAAATTCTTTAGTAAGAGCTTTCATCATTAAGATCGCCTGAGTTTGATTCTGAGTTTAAAAACAGCTAAAGAGTAACTTTTTGCCAATTTAAGACACTAGTGTACGTTATTTGTTTTCATTTAACATCAAGCAGTGTAAATTTCTCTCATTTCTCTTTATCAGCGCCAGTGGCTTTTCTAGAGTTTCATTGGAAAATACTATCGAGTTTTGTGTGTTAGATTCTGTTGAGCGTCGGTTGCGCGCAAAAGCCTAACTTTTACCCGATTCTCAAAAGGTTTCAAAGTTATACTAGTACACCAGAAAATTCCAATAGAGATGGATAAAGTCAAAACTTTCTCCATTCAGTCACCACCTTCCGTTTCTTGACTTTCAGGTGGTGCTTGGTAATTTTGAAAATCTTTCTTTCAAATTCTTTATTTATCAAAAAGAAGCATCTCGATCTCGAATTAATCCCATCCTTCATTCATTGACGAGAATCATTTTTTTTCATTTTTATTGTTTCATTTATAGATTGATAAAAATATTTAATAGCATCATTTTTATATGGTGATGATGATGATTGTCATTTATCACAAGAAAAAAATATATAAAGCACAAGCGATCAACAGCACACAGCTTACCGGTTAGGACTGCAAGAATAACAAGTAATAGATCGAGAGATAGCAAGTTCCGGCGTCTCGCCGTGCTTTTCATGATTCTCTCTCACCGTCTCAAATCACAGGATCATAGTTTGTACTAACACACTGTCGTTCACTTGTAAGAGAAACTTGTTCTCTCGGTTGACCGACAAGCCCACACACTTCACTTCAAAGCAGTCTTTTATCCTTTCAATTAAAACTTTAAATGATGTTTAAAAAAAACTTTTTTTTTTCTTTATGAATTATATACTCCGCTCCACTGGAGACAACTGCTGTCAGAGTCAATCAGGAATTTATGAGTTTTTTTCGTTCAATTATAACGAGATAAAAAGTTTCAAAAGTTTAGTAAAAGTCGTTGCGAGGTGGTGGCTTATACAAAGCATAAAGAAAAGCTTGAATTTCGCACGACGCTCCGGACACTACTGAAAGCTCTCCGTAAGCGCCAAGAGCTTGTAGTGCGTCGACTCGGACCGCGAGGGCGGTTCAGAGGGTTAACATTTGGGGGACTGACGCTGTTCTCGCTGCGCGAGAATCCATCGTCCATTTCACTATGGTGATTGATTGGCACAGGAACTTTGCGACTGATTGAATCTTTTTTGTGTTTCAATATCGATATATTTATTCTTCAAGCTGATAGTAAAAGATGTGTTATTTAATTTTATGCTCGTTGTATGCATAAAAATATGCAATGGCTCGTGTGTATATATATCGTTTCATTATGTTAAGACGACAAGACATGTATAGGTCGAGAGTAGCAAGCTTCGGTTTACCTCGGAGCATACTGCTCTCAGGAGAGTATTTGAGAGGGTGTGAGAAGGGAAGAAACCATTTCCCAATGGGGCTTGCGAGTATGCGGCAACGGTATACGTCCAGCTGAATATAACTAAGAATCATTCACCAGCCGATCCAAACAGAACAGTTTCTCTTCATTCATTTTATCTATCAGTTGATCCAGTTCATCTTGCTTACCTTATTTTTAGATATTGATTCATTTGTTTTCTTTAGTAATTATGTCGTTATTACTGTCTTCTTCGGTTTATATCATTAGCAGCTAATTAATATGGATGAGTAATTCATTTTATTTTCAAGAATAGTTGAATTTTTATTTTTAAATAAATTTTAAAAATAAAATATAAGTCGGTGGAGATCTTTAATTAAATTTCCTTTTTATAGATACTCAATAAAAATGGCTATTTATAAGTATTAATATTTTTATAGTTAAATCATATTTACATATATGAGAAACCTGAAATGTAATTTAATTGATTCGTTGAAATTGTTAAATGGTAGCATGATGGTGTATTAATATATTTATAGAACTTGAGTGCTTTTTTTTTATATTGTAAAATAATTTTATCATTTTTGGAAAGCCAACAAAATTTTTTAATATGTTTATAGTTAAAAAAATAGAATCTAAATAATTGAAACAATTAATTTGCTATATATGTAAAGAAGCCTGTATTTATTTCTATCAGATTTAAACGTAACAAATAAATGCTATATGTGGTTATTTGTTCAGTGGGTCAAGAATAAAAATCGGCTTTTGCAATTAAAGTGTAGTTTTAAAATATATATGCGTTTAGTAACATTTAATAAATACCAACTTTTTATCTGATGATCCTAAAAAACTATCGGCACTAAATCTATTAACATTTATCGTTATCAAAGCTATAGTTATGTAAATTTTTTTTTTTATAGATAAAAGTATCATGTTAGATTTCACTAGAGTAATTATTCTCATGTGTATTTTCCAACAGACTTTGTTATATTTTCAGAAATATTACACTTTTCTATGTATCTTTTTTTTTTCCTATTTTTAATCCTCTAGTATCAATAAAATATTTTTTTTTATTTATAGACTCTAGATAGAATAATTTTTTTTTGATTTCATTTTGAAATACTAGTAAAATGATACAAACCTGAAAGCTGTACATTTATTTAGTTGACAAAAGCTGTCCTTAAAATTAAAATTAAACCGTTCATACATAAAGGAAAAAGTTTAAATTTATTTTCCATGCTCAAGGAATTTTCATCATCTTAACAATGAGTTATTACTGAAAATATTTTCTCATAGAGAATCGCACTATATATTTTGTTTGTAACAAGTGAATAAATATTCATTTATTCTAGAGAAATATCGTATAAGCTGATAGAATTATTAATAAATTAACTTATAAAAAAACACTTAAAATACAAAAAATATTGCTAATAAACTATGTAAACTAATATTGAACTTGTAGGTCTAGAATAAATAATTAAATTCATTTGATAATTAAAAAATACATGTTATTAATAATAAATATTATCGATTGCACAAAATACACAAAACTTGATAATAAAAATTACGAATAAAATATGAATTGTTATAAAAGTTAGTGAGAGACTAATTACTTATTCATTAAAGCAAGTGATAAATCATTCAACAGCAACATACAGAACTTAACATAAAGTTATTAGAAGTGATACAGATTACGACAGATTTAATTCTAATTCACTTACATTAGAAAGTAGTTGGATGTAATAAATAAAGCAAAATTGAATTTACACGAATCACAGGAATATCAGTTGGATTCAGGACAAATTAGTCGCAGTGATTGATTTAAAGAATTCTGGAGTACCTCACTCTCTCCAATTGAAACATTTGTAACAGAGTAGTGATGGTGATTGCAATTTGCCGGTGTTGGTACACCAATGGGTAGAAGTGGATTCGTATAAACTTGAATCTTCTGTTTGCCTCTCTGTCTTGCATGCTGGTCGACATTTCTAGTCGCTTCACCGCGAACTTGCCAAAGATCGATTCGTTACAGGAGTCAGACTCCGACGAACGCGAAGGAGAACGGAAGTGAAACACGTGGCGTCACGCTCGACAGCCGGCAACGAAACTTTGACATCGTTAGCGGGACGCCCAGTTTCAATCACTCCGGACGCCGCGAGGGAAATTCTTGTCGTCTGTGACGCTTTCTCATTCCCTTTACTCTTATTCTCTCACCCTCTGCATTTCTGTCAACGACCAACCGTCCAATTGTCACACAAGCATTGGGCATAATACAAAACTTTGAATTGAGGGTGTGATGCTATACGATTCAATGAAAGTTTCTTGGACCGTATATGTAGCATAGAGAGCTTCAAAACTCCTGTCAGTTTCTGTGTTACATCACGCTTTCCTACCGACAAACAAAATCTTTTACCATAACTGCAACTAATGAGCATTATATATTCAGACGTGTCTATTTCACCAACAAAACATTACTCTCTTGAATTCAAACTGTTGTGTTTTCTCTATTCCATGGAGTAATTAAAATAGTCGGTGCTCAAGTGATGACTTCTGCCTGGGGTTTTTTGCGGTTTGATGAAATAAATGCTCCTGTGTGAGAGATTCTCTTTCTGAGTTTTCAACAATGGATTTTAACAGCAAGCACAAGTTACTTAATATTTTATTTCGTTGTTTAACATATTTTTTCTCTGTAATTGCAGTATACAGTCTCGTTTGAAATTCCTTTTCTAATATAAAAATTTGAGAAATGAATAAAAGTCATTATTAAGATCTTTTTTTTTTTTGTTCAAGCTTAGTGAATTTGATTTTACTTTTGAATTCATTATTTTTGTTTAGTTGATTTTTAAGTAAAAAAGATATTCAAGCTAAAGATGAAATGACTTTGAAAAACTGGTTTTATTTGTAGTATGAATGCTGGCAATAAATGATTAAATTAAATTTTCATAAGGCAGTAAATAAAAATTTTTCCACTTTAATATAAAACTTGTCTTCAGGTAAATCTGTGTATTATTTTAATAGGAAAATATTAAAAATATTATTTGAAATTGTTTTTGTTATCAAAATTGGTTATTTTTATTTTAGGAAGCATGCTTATATTAAAGGAATGAATTAGAGTAGCAAACAATGAATAAGTACAGTAAAAACATTTTTTAATTTCCACCAACTGTATAATGAGATTAATTGTTAAACTTAAATATTAATTTTAGTATGTATAAAAAAATATGTCTCACATATAAGAACTAAATTGAATTATATGTAGCTTGTTTTGTGTGTTACAAATATTATTACTTTACTCTAGATTATAATTTGTTGCATTGTAATTATTGAGTGGTTTTAGTTAATTCATATGCAATTGTTGCAATTACTTGACAATCATTATTAAACATTGATCAAATAAAATTCGAGTAAATAATTTCTTTAACTTACCATTATTATTTTACCCCTGAGAGTAATTTTTGAATTTTTTTTATACAATTTAATTATATTTGAAATATTCTTTTAATACTTTTTCTTTTTTTTTAATAACTCTGATTTATATATCTCGACATCATCAATAACTCTGACAGTCACAAGTATAAAATTGAATAGTGGACAAAAGTCGTTTTATATATATCCCATTTTATCCCTGAGGATAATTCTGGTAAGAATAGAATCTTAAGGGTAAATGTGATGTTTCCTTGACTCAAGTACAATCATTCCTTGTGTCAGACGTGGTCTCCCCAAACGGTTGCCATTTTCGCACGGTCCACAGATGCTAGATACGTACCATGAGGATGCCAAGCTACCGCTGTCACCGCAAATCTGCAATATGAAATGAAGAGAAATTTCATTCAATTACATGAATAATTGTATGAATAATAGAACGTAGATAATTTTAATGAAATGTTCCCATGTTCTGAGAGGCAAATTTGTAGTGAATATTTTTATTTAAATTATTCTTTACAAATATATTAACTAAGAATAAAAATAGAATAGTTTTTAACCTCTCAGTAGGAAGTTATTGTAATGAGTCTGATTTTGTAAACTCTTAATTTTGACGTATCTTCAGGTTTCAAGGTCTCTACAGTCGAATGGTATGGTTTTTGAGAGGATGTCCGTGTATGCACATTTATGTATGTACCCGTATGGACGAAAGGGGAAAAGTCGATATAGTTGAAATCATAATTGGAGTATAGTTTGTGTTGAAATTATAGCAAGTTCCTGTTTTACCCCATTTGAGGCGTGAAATATTTGATTTTTTAAATGTTTGACCTGATTCCGCATTTCTGGGCATTGAGACGAAGAGAATGAGTGGTCGAACTTGAAAATCGGACAACTTTTATTTTTCAACCCCAAAAAATGGCAAGTGGTACCCCTTTCCATTTTTTTAGGCCAAAAAATAAAGGTACTCCGATTTTGATGATTGAGGGCTCATTCTCTTTGTCTTGATGCGTAGGAATACGGAATCGGGGCACAGCCCAAGAAAATTCACTTTAACACCCTTAAAAACGGGTTACATTAAATACAAATTACGAATAACCACCCCCTTGACTTTAAACCCTTATAACTCATGAACGGACAGTCCAATAACTATTTTAAGGGATTTTTTGAAAACCTCAAAATCTAAGCTAAATATGTATATCCATAAAAAATGTCTAAAAAATTTCTTTCACCCTTAAAATCGCTAAAATATGAAAAAAATCACATTTTTTGAGGAGTTTGCTAAGTATTTGGGCAATTTTGAGGGTGAAATGAATTTTTTAAACATTTTTTAAAGGATATGTATCTCTAGCTTAGATTCTGAAGTTTCTAAACAGCTCTTAAAAATCATCGTCTGATAATTATTTCAAGAGTTATGGAGACCCAAAGTCAAAGAATAGATAATTTTCGATCCTTACTTCGACTTTGGATCTCTATAACTCATGAATGCACGGTCCAATAACCATTTTTAGGAATGTTTTAGAAACTTCAGAATCTAAGCTAGAGATACATATCCTTTAAAAAATGTTTAAAAAATTCATTTCACCCTCAAAATTGCCCAAATACTTAGCAAACTCCTCAAAAAATGTGATTTTTTTCATATTTTAGCGATTTTAAGGGTGAAAGAAATTTTTTAGACATTTTTTATGGATATACATATTTAGCTTAGATTTTGAGGTTTTCAAAAAATCCCTTAAAATAGTTATTGGACTGTCCGTTCATGAGTTATAAGGGTTTAAAGTCAAGGGGGTGGTTATTCGTAATTTGTATTTAATGTAACCCGTTTTTAAGGGTGTTAAAGTGAATTTTCTTGGGCTGTGCCCCGATTCCGTATTCCTACGCATCAAGACAAAGAGAATGAGCCCTCAATCATCAAAATCGGAGTACCTTTATTTTTTGGCCTAAAAAAATGGAAAGGGGTACCACTTGCCATTTTTTGGGGTTGAAAAATAAAAGTTGTCCGATTTTCAAGTTCGACCACTCATTCTCTTCGTCTCAATGCCCAGAAATGCGGAATCAGGTCAAACATTTAAAAAATCAAATATTTCACGCCTCAAATGGGGTAAAACGGTATGTTTGTTATCAATTATCATCTTATGTTTCTAAAAAAAAAATTATGATACGGACATGAGACCGATTATATTTAATTCATAATTATGTCATTTAAATCTCATTAGATTTTGGGCAAAATTGGTCTAGCAGTATTTTATAAAAAATAAAAAAACTAAAAAGAGGTAAACTAGCCGATTTTCACAATTCATGAATTTTTTTTTTCAAAACAATTGAGTTTTTTTCAATTTTTTTGTTACCCTTCACTGAAAAGTCAATCATGTGGACCTTTCAGATCGCACCTATACCAGATTTTTTTAAATTTTTAACATTATCATTTATTGATTTTTACGAAAACTTTTTTCCACAAAATTCTATTCAATTAAATAAGAATCACTCTATTTTATTTTCTCTAAGTGTTTGAAAATGTATTCACTGTTACATAAAAATTGCCACATTATTAATAAATATTTAAGGCGCTGTCAAACTACCTCAAATTTATGTAACGGTTACGCAAAATTTCGTTCCAAACATTACCATAAATATTTCCCTAAAAATTTCACTCATGTATAATTTGTTATTCAATATTCAGCTTCCAAGAAAAGCCTTGCTTCAATATCTTGATACAGGAAATAACGGACCATTCTCGTGCCAGATAAATCGTCGGTTAGATTAGTTTGGAACGCGGCTCGTCATCCACAAGGGTGACATTAACTGATTTCGTGGCCTGGGGAGTAATCCATGGCCAATTATGGACCCAGCTTGGAGATTGTGCGCGTGTCTCAGACGGCCGTAATTGACTGGGTGCCTTCGTTGCTATGACCATCGACTAATACTGCTACAAAAGACAGTTTTTCTTTTGCCTGATTCTCCGTCCCTTGCTACTAGATATGGAGCTCTGATTAAAATTATTTTAATCTGCATTCTTCGAATAAGAAGGAAAATAAAAAAGAGAAAAGGGGAACAAAAAATGCCGGTTGTCGAGGGAAAGATAACTATTAGTTGCAAGAATGTTCGGAAAGGAATAATATTGGACAAGTGTCTAGACAAGCTGTCACAAATACCCTCACGTTGACGATATTTCCCATTGTCTATAACCCCAAAGGCAGTATTAGCGTCAAAGATACGTACTTTTGTAGACCAGCTGCCTATATAAGAACGTATATTGCGAGGGTGAAGAACGGCCAGTGATCTGTTCTACTTGCTAAAGTGGCGTACAAAATAAGCTCCCTCGTACTACACCATGCTACACGACAACCGCACTTTTACTACTGAAAAAATTTGTGGGGTGGTGTGTCTTGGAATGTGAACCGTAAAGGAATTTTCGCCTCACTCGTGACGAAAGGTCGAGATGTATAGATAGCTTGGAGGGTAAAAAAAATAAAAATGGATGAAACACAAAATTCCAAAGATTATTGAAGTTGGTCTGCTGGCTGTTACGTGAAAAACAACTATTGAACAATGGGTAACTAATCCATCTATAAAAATAAAACTCTGCCTTTTACAATGTGTCCAACACATACTAAACATTACATTTTTATTGTAACGGATTTTTTATCATTGCTTTTTTAGCATTTTTATACCGCTTTTGAGTTAACTCAATCAATAAATGCTTTGTATTGATCAAGTTTTGAATGCAATGAATTTCATTGGGTTGAATAAAACAAAAATTGTTTGTAGGGTTTTTTATTATGTACTTTTATCAAATTTAAATGAATGGAATTAGGAAAATTCTTCTGGGATGTATGTTGAAAAGCAATGTGTTGTAATTTTAGAAAAGTAGTGTATTTATGAGAGAAATAAAGATAGTTTTTGAACATGAGAAAAGTACAATATGGACGTTACCAAAAATTTACCTCAAAAATGATAGTGGAAAAATTCTAAAGTAAATATGAATAATACTATTTATGAGGGAAATTATTAATAGGAAGACTACTGATGAAGCTTTTCAACTTGAATAGAATTTTACTTCGGATAATTTAAAAAAAAAAAAAATTGAAGTTAAGTGCGTTTAAGAAAGTTGATTTTTCTACTTTCGATTGAAGATTTACTTTAGAAAGCTACTTTAGAAGTAAAATTATTTGTTTCAATAATAATCGAAAATATCTACACGAATTTGAAAACTTTTAATACAGCAAATACTTTAATCGAAAACTATTCTATTGTTTATTTAAACAATTTTTTCTTAAAAATAACTTTGTTCTTATTTTTTTATTTTTCTATGGAAAAAAAATCAGTCAATTAAAATTTAGTATTGTAAGCAATTTATTTTTATTTCATATTTTTAATTTTTATAAAAAACTTTTTTTAGTAAATTATTATTAATTATAACTATTCACTGGTAAATGGTTTCAATTTTAGTTAATTAATTTTAGTATAATACTCAAGATAGATTTTCACTAATTTTCATCTGACAATATCAATTTCAAGTGCAGTATACTGAATTCGATATAGACTTTGATAAACTTTAAATGCATTGAAATCTATCTTCAGAAGTGTAGCTATTAATTTTACCTCATATAGTGCTTCATATAATAATAAACATGCCCATATTAATCAAAGAATATTTTATTATATGATATTACAACATTATTATGATTATATGTTTTCTTTTCCTGTGTACATTTTCTAAGTGAAGATGATAAAAAAAATATAAACATTCATGTCATAAATATTCTACATTTTTATATAAATGTTAATAAAGAAAAAGAAATTTATTTTTTACTAAAATTTTGCTATTCTTCGTTGTCAAATATTTGAAAATAAATTCTTTTTACGTTAAAATAAAATCTTCGACTCTGTGTCAACTTTAGGAGACGCAACAAAATTAGGATGGAATATTATATTATCTAATGGCATGGTGAAATTTTATCTGAAAAGTTTTTTTGTCATTTTAACAAATCAAAAGGATAATGTGGCATAAAAGCGATCAAGTGATGTTTTGGTTCATTGATAACTCCTTCGAAAGTGATCATAAAGAAAAAAATAAAAGAAAATTTTAAAACTTAGACGATAAAGTTTTACATAATTTATATATTTTTTCAAATCAAAAATTTATTCACTTCAATTTTCATATAAAATTATTTGGAAATTAAAAAATAAATTAAAGCACACATTATCATTTTTCTATTTATCTTGTTCGTGAAAAAATATTTTACGACAATTTGTTCTCAGGCAACTGACTCATAAAGCTAAGAAGACGATTTTATTTCAAACTAAGATAACTCGGTGAAGAAAAATCGTAGAACATTTCTAGAAAAACGATTCGAAAGCTAAAGTATAAGCTTTTAGGT